CTCCCACACAGACATCCAATGATCTGACCAAACTCCTTGTGCCTGAAGAAGTCCCTAGGCAGAGAGGAAAGGCAGGGCCATAGGTAGGAAGGTGCATGAGCTACAGACTGTTGCAACTGCCGAGAATTCAGGTAGCTGAATATAGGCAGAGGGTCATGGATAGCACCAGCCACAGGTGCCTGGTCCAATCGGTATGAACTAAGAGGTGGAGGGAGCCAGGCATGAGAAGCAGAGTGGAAGCGCAGTGCAGAATGTGGCCACCTACCTGTCCAGAAGAAACTTGTTAGGGCGGCATCCTCTGCAGAGACAGGTATGAGCATAACTGGGCCTTGGTTGCCCATCCCAATACAAATCTCCAGGACATGGAACATGAGATGGAAGCATAGAGCAGCCTGGAGCAACCAGGGGGGTGCAGAGGTTGACTATGAGATGGCTTTCAGCGGCTGGTGCCTCCCTGAACATTTGTAAAGCAGACAGGCTTTCTCTGTTGCTCTTTTGCTCCTTCTTGGGATGCATCTCAGCAGTAACAGGTCTTCTTTCTGCAGCCGCCCAGCACTTCTGCATGGCCTCAGCAGTCCAGAGCCTTGATTCTCAGAGCCTTGCCAAGTCCCATTTCACGGTAATCTCTCCCCAAATAGATATGTCCCCGATTTCAAAATTCACATCTCTTCCCCAAGACCTGGCATCAAGAGAAAGATTGCTGGTTGCAAGCATCGAGCTAGGTCATGAATTCATATTGAATTGTGAAAGGCTAGTGACCTCCAAGCTCTCCTTGGGTATTTGTAGTTTAGAAGGGGCGATTGTGCACTCAAAGGAGATAAAATAGCTTGCAAACAAGTGTTACAGTAAAATACATAAACAAATAAAAAACACAAAAAAAAGTCCTTAAAGCCACAGCAGAGAGGTCTGTGAGCTTGGAAACAAGGCTCTGTGCATTCAAGCTTAATGGTTTCTCTCCTTATAAAATACTCGTAACATTGGTGCAAACTCTGGCAAGTTGAATAACTTCTCTATGCCTCAGTTTTCTCATCTGCAGGGTTGTGCTGAGGATTAAGTGGCTTAATATGACCAAAAGCTTAGAACTGCTCCTTGGGCACAGTTCAGCTCAATAACTGTCTGTCACAACTCTTCTTTGGTCTTCCAAGACACAGTGAATCTTCTGACTTCAGACAGGTGCATAACACATTTCAATGATAAACCCAACAGGAGTATTTCAGGGGAGAGCTATTCTAATCCTGAGAGTTCTGGGCAGTGCTCTGGGGCCTCAGATTTCACTGTGTCTCTGAGTTACCCCAGGAAGCAGACCTTGGAGATACCATCTTCATGGACATGGCAGAACAGTGACCATCTTCTTTCTGTTTCCCTATTCCATGGGCAGCTGAAGAGGGATGCAGAGATCCCTAGTCCAACCTACCTCCCAGGTGACAGTCTCAAAGTCCATCCAATTCTTGGATCTTAGATTCAGGTGAGAAAATATTAAACAAAACTGGCCAGATGGAGTCAGACATAGCAGGAGGCCCAGTTTTGACCCTGCTTGGCGTAGCCCTCTATACATCTGTCTATGTGACAGATGACAATCTCTTTAAGGTAATTGTTCTTCTCTTTACTTTTCTCCTCCCCATTCTGTTCTCTGCCCTGCACCTCTGCCCCCACCTTCCTTCAAATCTTTTTTTTTTTTTTTCCCACAGGCTCCCAAGAAGGTAACTGAGGGGACAAGGTGGAGGCAAATCTGGCACTTTAATTGCACATTCCAGCCCATTATTTAGCAATTATACTTGAAGTTTCCAAGTATTTCAAAGATGAATCACAATGTAATTTACAGTTTTCTTTTTGAGGGGGCGGAGGGTAGGAGAAATCAGTCTCCTACTCAAAGTCAGAAAACCTCAGGCAATTATGTTGGATTCTAAGATTGCTGCTATGTACTTAACCACTTGATACTTGCCATGAGTTCATGGTCCTTTCTGTACAGTGATTAACCAGACCTAGATGTGAGAATGGGCTGCCCCAGGTTTCCAGGTCACCCCAGGGACAGAGCCGACTGCTTGTTCTGAAGGATAGCACAGGAGGGCTGCAATAGGTCTCAGGTTCCCTAGGCCTTGCATGGAAGAAAAGGAGGAGGAAAAATTGTACCGCTAATTTGTAATTTGTAATTGTTCCTTACAAGGCTTGCAATTCCATAGTCTAAATAGTTTAGTAGTTATAAATCAGAGACATCAGAGACACTGACATGTGTGCATCTTGTGGGATGGAGAGGTATGAGTTATGATAATTCCATCCAGAAAGAGAAGTCTGGTCCCAGAAAGGCGAGATGCAGCCCGGGCAGGACAAAAGTACCCAGAGTTAGAAATAGCTAGTCGCCGTGGTGTCAAGTGGACTTGGCTGGCTCCCAGGAGCTAGACTCCGAGTTGGAGATTGGCTCGTGGAAAACTTACTGAGTGTTTATTAGGATCAGCCTTGGTGATGAGAAGTGGGGGTGGGTGGGAAGCAGCAGTGAGCAGGGGGAGGGGCTGGGGTGTGATGCAGCGGCCACAGAGACCTCAGCCCATCTGGCTTGTGAGCCTTGGGATTGTCTCAGGGGAAGCAAGAGACCCCGGGAGTGAGGCAATGCATTTGATGAAGCTTTCCCTCTGGCCAGGGGCCCAGTCCTGCAGGGTGGTCTGGGCAATGCCCCATAGCACCCTCTACAGGTGATACAGGCTAAATCACACCCCTCTGAATTCATAGGCCAGGTCCTTAACCCACTATGTGACTGGCTATTTTGGAATAGGGCTTTTAGTGGGTGATTAAGGTTCAATGAGGTCCTCAGGGGCCCCTGATCTGATAGGATTGGTGTCTCTAAGAAAGAGGAGGAGAAAAGAGAAATCTTTCTGCATATGGATGCAGAGGAAAGGCCATCTAGGTCACAGGGGGAAAGTAGCTGTCATCAAGCCAGGAAGAGAGGCCTCATCATAAACCAATAAGCCCGGCAATTTCTTCTTGGACTCTAGAACTATGAGAAAATACACTTCTGTTGTTTAAGCCACCTAGTCTGTAGCATTTTGTTATGGCAGCCTCAGGACTGAGACAACAAGTGTATTAGTACTCCCCAGCCTCCCATTGCCCTCCCCCAGGGGATTACATTCCACCCTTTTGGAGTCAACATGACCACATAATTTGATTTGATCTATGAAACATGAAGCAGAAGGGACATCTGTGGATCATGGTTACAAAGCAACATTTATCAGTCGGAACATTTCATACGCTGACTGGGGACCATGCCAGAAAGATTCATCTCTTATTTCAGTAAAATAGCTCAGGCCAATTCCAGGCCTGCCGGGGCTGATCTGTACAGCCCAAGGAGCTTCAAGTTCATAAAGAAGGACGTTATGGGGATGGAGAGATGGGAGTTATGATCATGAGAGATGAGCTAAAATAATCTGAAAATGAAGAATAGTCAGATTGCACTCACCTTGTGGATGGTCAAACACACGTCAAGGCTCCTGTTGTCAGAACAGTATGGCAGTGGGAAAGGAATGCTGGAACAGAATAAAGGGGCTAGAAATATACCCCAGGATGTATTGGAACTTAATATACAAAGCAGGGGATAGCTAGGTTGAATGAGAAAATTGGGCTTGATTGGATAAATTAAAATGACATCATGGGTCTGAAGTGCTGAGAGCCTGGGCCCCTAGCAAAGCCATGGCTCATTTCCAGCTTTGGGTTTAGTCAAGCGATTGAGGATATTTGAGCGGGCCCAAGCAATAGTCAGATGAGTTTTCTAGTAGTAAACACTTTCCAACCAACCGTCCCGGACCGCCTTGCCTGGTGCATGACCACAGGTCTCCTTCCCTCCCGGGAGTCACAGCAGAAGGCCTTTTTCCTCTGATGGAGTTATGATGGGATGCCCAGTTTGACCGAGTGCTGTGTCAAGTCCCCACGTTTTATCTATCCTTGCTATGGTGTGAATCTCGAATGTTCCCCACAGGCCCACATGTTAAAGGTCCCCTGGGTGTGCTATTGGGAGGTGATGGAATCTTTGAGAGATGTGGCCAAGTGTGTGTGGGGGGGGTCTTCAGATTATGGGGGAATGTCCTCAAAGGGGATACTGGAACCCCAGTCCCTTCCTCATTATCTTTTGCTTTCTAGCCAAGAGGTAAGTCATTTTGTTCCTCCACACGTTCCTGCCACAATTGACTCCCTTACCGGAGGCCCAAAAGCAATGGGCCCAGCCAATCATGAATTAGGACCTCTAAGACTATGAGCCCAAACAAGTCTTTTCTCTTTATAAGGTGATTTTCTCGGGTATTTTATTATAGTGACTGAAAGTTGCCTAGCACAATCCCTCACCAGGATCCAGTGAGGTTGGTGCTGTCCCTGTTCTCAGATGAGAAAATTGAGTCTTATTCAACACTGAACTGGGTGCTATCTTCAGACTCAGGGAAACCAGAGAAATCAATAGAGGAGTGAGTGGTAGTACGTTCATGTTGTTCATTCTAGAAGCAGTAGGAATAATCAAAATTCCCTTTATCAGCCCGCTTCCTACCAGCAGCCTCACAGAAATTGGGTTGACTTGCACTACCATTACACATTTGATTTATACATTTAAAAAATCATGACACAATCCCTTAGGTGCTGGGTACTAAGGGATTGTGTTTGTAGGTGGACTTATTTCCCAAGCAGAGCCGATCATACTTTACCAAATCAAATTAATTCATTCTTTGTAAAGTTACTGTACTGTTAAAATCAACCAAGTGTCTATGTAAGATGATGGGCACTTTTCATGAGTTTGACAATTGTCTCCTAATAACACTCAGTCCCATTTTTCACAACAATGTACATATCTAATTCCCTAATTAGTGATTGGGAATTTAATTTAACAACTTTAATTTTTTTTTTTAAACAGTTCCATAGTGAACATCTTTGTGCACATGGCCCATTAAGAAATTTCCTTAGGAGACATTCCCAGGGGTGGATTTAATGGATCCAGGGTTTATTTTTGTTGTTGTTGTTGTTTGTTTTATAAAAACATGGAATGTTTCACGAATTTGTGTGTCATCTTTGCACAGGGCTATGCTCGTCTTCTCTGTGTTGTTCCAATTGAAGTGCTCTTGGTTGATATTCTGAACTACTTTCCAAAAAGAAATCACCCTGTGTGTGGCTACCAGATGTGTCTTCTAGGAAAAATTCCCTGGGAGAAATCTTCCATCTCTGCAAAGAAAGAGTGCTTCCTGCCTCCTAGCTAGTCTGGGACTCCCAGGAAAGAGGCGCTGAAGAGAGAGAGGAAAAGGAGCCCCTTCCTCTCGGGATGGACAGGTGCTGCCCACCAGGCTTTGGCTCTCAGGTAGGTCTTGATGCTCTTCTCTCAATATGAAAATTTCCATGGACCATCAGCAGCAAACAAGCCCACTCTGTAAGAATGATGGATCAAAAATGAAAACAAGACCACAGCCCCCAATCACGTTGGGACATGGGCCAGGTATGAGCATTGTTCAAACCACAAAATGACGGGACCTCCCCATCTGGGCTGATGTGAGCAAGGACGGCTTCCTTCCCAGTTACACCGCCAGCCTGGCTGTAGTTTGCTTTCCCTGTCGATAGGTTTTAAAATACCGTCTCCCAACAGCATGGAATCCCCAGCAAAGACTGGATTTCTTCCAACCCTCCCTCAAATGTGCAGAGACCAGGTGTGCAGGGTTGCATTCCATCATGCACCAGGCGTCAAGGCCTCCCACACCCAGGTTCCCCTATAAGCAACTGGTTAGTCTTTTACTAAGAAATGAAAAAAAAAAAAAAAAAAAAACCCAGATTTTTCTGGGTAGAAAAGGTCACTTGTTGAGATGTTTGTAGGTGGACTTATTTCCCAAGGATCAGGTTGGCGTTGGCCATCCGATGGAAGGACTCTGCAGCTAAAGGAAGGAAGGGTGGTCGTGAGAGGAGTGGGCTACCAGGCTCACAGTGGGGGAGGGAGGAGAGCTTGGGCTTTTCCCGTTCGTTCTGCCCTCCCATGGCAGAAGCTGTGCTTTCCTTCCCCATCACTCCTCCAGGTAAACAGGATGTCACTGAACAGGGTCTGTGAGTGTTCGTGAAAAATAGAGGGGTGGCCACAGGCAAGTCAGCTAGGAACAACAAAGTCAGGGGTTTCTGCCAGATGTCAGTTCCACTGTCCGCCACTGGGGGAACCCTAGAGGCCCAGAAAAGACCAGCCAGCACTGATCCTCAGTATCATTCAGGCACGATGTGCTCCCTGGTGAGATGGCAAGCTCTGCATCAACTCCCAGAGGACTATTAGGTCATTGCCCCCATAGGGGGACAGCCTGTGCTGGGTGCTGCATTCCCTCTGCCTCTCTTAACCACTCCTTGCCTGAGGATACTTTCTGAATTTCAGGGGCAGGAAAACTTGCCTGTTTTCCTCATGTACCTCTCAAATCTGTACTCTATGTTCTGAACCCTTTATTTCAACAAATAATATTGATGAATAATAATAGAAAAAAACAATTTAAATAAAATGTAAAACCATTAGTAACCATTTTCTGTTACTATAACAAAATACCTAAAGCTAGATAACTTTATAAAGAAAAGATGTTGATTTAGGTCATGGTTCTGGTGCTTCAAGAACATAACACTGGCATAAGCTCAGCTCTGACAAAGTCCTCATAGCAGACAGAATCATTATGGCAAGAGTATGTGCAAAAGAGAGAGAGAGAGAGATCATATCACCAAATGGGAAGCCAAAGAGGCAGGAGAATGACCAGACTTGTTCTTTTAGAATAACCCTCATATAAAAACTCAGGGGTCCCATGAGAGCTACCTTAATACTTGTGAAGGCACACCCCTAAAGACCTAAGAACTTTCTACTAGGCTCCCCCCTCTTAAAAGGTCCTACCACCTCTTAACATCACCACACTGGGAAACAAACTTCCAACACATGAACCCTTGGGGGATAAATTCCATCCAAATCAGAGCAGCCAGCTAATCCCCAGTGACCAACAAAATATGTAGGTGGTGGAATACAGTCTGGAGGTCACCACCGAGGCTTTGGGTATTCCATCATACGGCCGGTCATGTCAGGCTGGATTCTCAGAAGGACATTTTAAGATGAGAATTCGTGGGAGGGGTTCATCAGGAATATTGATAGGAGAGTGAGGAAATGGGATGAGGGAGGGAAGACCAAGCAAGGGTAGGTAAAATCAGAGGCCTGCTGCTTGGCTTTAAACCTGCAAGGGGCTCTGACTGTGGTACAGGTTATACCTCAGACTATCCCAATCGTGGGGCAAGGCAACTGCAATGATTTTACTGCCATACTTAACAGACCTTGACTTAAGGCTGTCTCCCCACTTCCTGCCCCCATGCACGAAGACAAAGGGGGCTCCTGATGCCCCTGAGGGTGACCTTCTGGGAAGGACTAGCAGGTACTAGCTGCTAGCACATGGAAGACGTCCAATGACATATCTCCCAACAGAATCTGCTACTCTTGCTACTCCTCTAGATGAATGATAGAAATCATTTGGAAAACACACACACACACACACACACACACACACACACTGATCTTGAAAAGATCTTGCGTTTCACTTAATCAATTATAGAAAGATTCCATGGGGCAGGATATACTAGTAACTAATAACCAGGTCCCTCACTGCCAATTTTTGCAATTAGAAGCAACATTCACCTAGAGAAGTACTAATGACTTCCCTTGGAATTGATCCAACAGCAGATATGCCCCCGAAGCCCAAAACAAATGGTATTGCCTGGAAATCCAAGCTGAAAGACACAAAGGTTATGGCAGGCTGAAGGAGACTAAAGATAAGATGTAAACTAGGAGAGTGTTCTGTCTTCTGTTGCAAAAAGAAAGACAATGTTTATAAAAAAAGGGCAATTGCGTGAGAATCTCCCTCCAATTCCCTGCTGACACGCCAGACTCCATGCGAGTTAGGATGTGACTATCTCCACCATTCTCAAGGGTGAAATAGCCACTGTTTCTCTGCAGAGCATGCAGGGGTCTTCCACCATCTTGAGATCAGAGAATTTGGGATGTTCCTTCAGGAAGTATAATGGCTTTCTTAGTGGTCAACCAAATAGACAGAAATTGGACCCTCCTCTATTTATTTATTTGGAGAGGGGCATTCATGACTCTAGCTTGACTCTTGCATTCTGAAAGCCCTATTGCCTGGGTTTCAAGTCATCAATAAGTGGTCCCAGAGTGTTTTTGAGATAGACCCAGTAATGAACTTAACATTCTTCAGTTCAATTCCACAAACATTTAGTGAGGCCTACTATGTGCCTGATATTGCTATAGGTCTTGGGGGGCATAACATTAATGTGCATCCAATACTACCCTTAGGAAATTCTGATTTCTAGAAGCCTATGAAACAAAAACAAACGCAGAACTCAGTGGTCAGTTAATTGCGCTCTACGTTCTGAATAGGAGTTATTGGTGGTCGGGTAGTTGTGCTCTGTGTGCGCTACAGCAATTAGTTGACCAAGGCTGAGCTGGAAGCGAGGCAGAGAGGCTTTAAGTGTCTGTGTATGCCATAAGGAGTCATAATGAGAACAAGCACCTTTGCAAAAAGGCTGTAAAACCAGAATTCAAGGGAAGCCCCTTAGGCCAGAGAGAAGGCGAGGAGAATCTTATTGAGCTCAAAGAACAAGAAACAATCTTGAAAACCTTGTGTGCCTGAGATCAGAAGCAATTTGAGGAATTAACTGACAGATATACACCACAATGTTATTAATGGTTTTCTCTAGGGGATGAGATTTTGATTGAGTTTAGTTTCTTTTTTTTTTCTCTTTTCCATCCTTTCTTAGTTCCTCCCTCCCTCGCTTGCTCTGTTCTTAACTAAAATAAATAAAAGGAAGGAAAGAAGTTTTCCAGCTTTATTGGGGTGTAATTCCAAGTTAATACAAAGATAAGGTGACTCTGCCAGGGGTCCCTAGTTCTCTCTGCCTCTCCTGCAACCTCTCAACAATTGGCTCTATTCCCTTCGGTGGCCATCAGTGCAGGGGATCTAGTGACTGGTTAAACAAACCCAATTTAAAAATGTCTCTTGATGAGAATAGTTCATAGACTCAGGTCCCTATTCTTTTCCTCCTTAGAGAGAGTCATAAAACTCTTCTTTATAAAGATGACTGCTTTGCATCAAGAATGAAACAATTAGGAAATCATGAGGTTGTCCTGACCAAGTATTGACATGACTTTGTTTTTATCTTTTTTATTTTAAGAAACTTTTCCTCCAACATAGTGTCAACAACCCGCATAAAGCAACTGTAGCTACAGTGTTTTATTACAATTCTGTATCATTGAGAGTAGCCTCCAAGGCATAGTGGCAATGACATTGACAACTCTTCTGTGTGGTAGAGTCATTCCCCAAGAAACAAAAATGCAAAAACAAAATTTTCTATGTTTGCTTAAAAACAAAACACAAATAAAAACCTGGTTGAAATACCAATCTTTGCATTGAAACAGACTAGAAAATACCTGAGTGCAATACACATAGTAAGGGTGAGCATTGTAGGGGAGTTGTGTGTGGTGGGATGGCATGAACGTGTATTTCCCATGAGCTGTGGTTACAGCATTTGGAATGCATGCACTAGACAGTTGTTTTGTGCTGTGATTAGGTCATGTTGCCCGGAGGGCATGTGTGAGCCTGGAGAGACTAGAATGAGAATGGCCATCCCTGGTAGGATGCTTCAAGAGGATATGGTGGAGAGATATGTGGACTGAGTGGCCTCTGATGCTCCTTCTGAATTTGGAATTTTGACTCTAGGATGCAACAGGGTAAATAACAGGTTGGTCAATAGGAGGTGGCTGCCCACATTTTAAGAAGTAAGTTATGCAAATGATTGATCAAAATCATGGTCCCATAATAGGCCCTTCCAATGATTCAGGAGTTTTCTCTCAAGTGTCTATTGGCCACCACAGGGATATTAATGTATCTTTCCAAGGGTCAGTCTCATTCAGCTTCTCCAGGCATGTCGATAATTTGTGGGCTTCTTTGTTGGCAGGATGTGAAGCCCTGGCGTTGGCAGGATAGTGCACTTCAATGTCATTCAGCCCACACCTGCTAGCAGCTGGGTGTGGTGGTCAGAGAGCAATGCACCGTCTATATGTAGAGTCTGCAGAAATGGGTG